GGAGGGAGAGCGAGACAAGAAGAGAGGGACAGGTATAGGGAGAGGGAGAGGCGACAGGGGACAGGAACAGGGAGAGGCAGGGAGAGGGAAGGAAAAATGGAGGGAAAGGAAGGGAGGGAGAAAGGGAGGGAGGTGCGGGAGAGCGACGAAGAGAAAGAAAAAAAGAAACAAGCAAACGAACAAGCAAGCAAGCAAGCAACCAAGAACTCGCAATGGGAAGCAACGATATAGGGAAAGACAGGGTTCATGGCGAGCGCCGGCTGACCTTTCAAGTACCTGACCGGGATAGAGGAATAAAGATGCATACACATATGCACATATACATATCTATTCTGAATTCCGCTATTCCTTGTGAGCGCCGGCTCACCTTTCTTGTACCTGACCGGGGCTGAGGTATATAGACGCTACACATATGCACATATACGTATTCATTCTGTGTTCCGCTATTCCCTGTGAGCACCGGCTCACCTTTCTTGTACCTGACCCGGGTAGAGGTATACACATGCATACACACATGCACATATACATATTTGTTCTGCTTAGTATGATAATACTAAGCACAATAGTTAAAATAGTAATAGCCCACACATATCACAAGCAAAAAGCAAGAAGCAAAGAAAGCGACAAAAAGCGGAGCGCAAAGCAAAAGCAGGAAACAAAAAGCAACGAGCAAAGAACAAAACAGCAGAAAGCAAAAGCAAAAAGCAATAGAAAAACAACAAATCCTCAAATAATTAGGATTCCGATAACACTCTCTCTCTCTCTCTCGTGTGGAATACTCCGTCTGATTCGGCCCATTGCTACTTATCCCTGAGAGGGGTACAGATCTGTAGCCACATAAACAGCGAAAAGCTCTGCGGTGTGGTTCAGCGGGTGCACAATCTGGCGTCCAGATTGCTTCAAAACACGTCTACCTCTGTCTTCGTTGGGCAGTGAATGATAGAAGGCTCACGGCCCCCCCCTACACCTGCAAATTGCGCGGTTCTCTCCTATCCCTTGTTCACAGGGTTCCCCTCACACACACACACACAGAGAGACAGAGACACACACGTACACACACACACTTCTGTATCGGGAAATCTCCGACAGAGAGCTGCGTGGGCTTAGAGGCGATTGCACTCGAGATCATGCAATGCCACTGCCAAGATCGGCAGTTCTGCGGGCTTTCCGTACCACCAAGGTCCAGACCGATGATGAAAGTATCACCGAGATTGCAAACTGGGCTAGGCAGAGCAACAGCGGAAGGGGCGCGTGGCTTGTGCACCTGACGGCAGATGCAGAATCGTCCCAACACAGAGTCGCAACTCAAACCTTGAAGCCCGCCTTTTCGCAAATATAATCATCAAGAGCTGGGTGATCACCAAAAGCAGTATCCTGAGTCAGAAGAAATGCAACTGCCGCGAACCGCTATCTGGTCGACTGCTGGAGCCAGGCATCCACCCAAGCATCGCAAGAGTCTCGTGCAGCCAATCTCGGGAGCTCTGAACTGGAGCCTTGCAAAATCAAAAAAAAGGCAGGTGATGCGATACTGTTAGCAAGCCGCAGGACCCCAACAAAAAGCAATGGTGACGGCTATGATTGCAAATCATTCGCAACAACACTGGCAGTCATGATAGTGCTGATTATCCGATCTCAGGAACTCAGTCTTGTGAGCGCGTCTGCTGTTATCGGACATTCTGATGTGCCTGTAGTGCTGAAAACTCTATGCATGACTTGCGGACTTTTCTTTGCACGGCCTCCACACATCCCCTTTCCGTTGTCTCCTTCGGCTTTGCAGAACTGTTGACCTTTGGCGCCGGGCTTGCTGCACGGTGCCGAGCCTGTCGGACAGGCAGTCATAGCTGATTCAAGCTGTTGAAGAATCTCCGAGTTTGCCGGACGGCTGCCTTCGCCTTGGGTTGATGGGGTGGAACACTTGTCTTCTCTTCCATTGCTGCGCGGAGCACTTCGCCAGGTTCATTCCTCTGAATTGGGTAGGAGACCTCGTGACTTTGCTGGGGTGTGCTGCTAATGGCTGGGAGCTCGAAGAGTTGCCATCGCAAGAGCTTCATAAAAACGGTTGTAGTCAAAACCTCAAGTGAAAACTGAGGTTGGCATGCCCGTGCTTGTTTGGCTGCTTCTGGAGTACACATGCCATGGCTTGATCCCGGCGCAACCAGGGAGCTGCGCGGCCTGTCAAGTCAACCTGCTAGAGTACTTCTACTCTCCATGGTTATCGCTACTACTACAGTTGCCTGCTGCAGTATACCGCTGAGACTACGACAGCGATTCCTTCTGTTCATGTGCAAACAAGTAAGCCACCGTTGCAAAGGCTCAAGCCCGAATCGGAAATCTCGCGGTCTGAGCACTCGGCACTTGCGCCAGTGAGGGCGTGTCCTTTGAGAGTGCTTGAAAACCTCTCCTAAACTATGCGCACAGGAACTGATTTGGTGACATTTGCTGGTCCTCTTGCGGCTCCTGTCGGAGTGACAGGCAGTGACAGGCACGGGAGTCTTGACTTGTGCAGCAATAGGAAGTCAGCACAGCACACAGTAGAAAATGCTAGGCCTCGATAGAAGCATGAATTGTGGCGATTGCAGCCTCCAGGAAGCTTTGGAGTTTGGCTAGCAAGCGATCATGGTGCAAAATGTCCCATACAATCGTGCAGACATGATCGGAAGCCGGCACTTTTGAAAGATCCACGAATGAGTTGGCGAAGCTACCAGTGAGCCCGAATCAGCAGCTGCACGGCCCACGGAACCGAGCCTTGTGATCTGCCATGAGATCGGCGTTGTGGTTGTGGACGATGATGGTTTGGTGCAGATCCCGCTGTCAAGGCAAATCGCAATCAGAGACTTTACATGTAACACACAAGAAGGTCGCGTCCACGCCCCATCCCCCTCCCCGCTCTGCCACGCCCACCTTGATCGTCTGCAACTCCTGGATCGGAGTGGCGTATGCTGCTGGATGTGGAAATAGAAAGTCAGTCGTCCTGCTCTCTCTTCTGCTCCATCTTCATCAGGAGCCTCTCTAACTTGTCCTGCTGCAGCTATGTCTGTTGAGCAAACGGGCTCACCTGGTCAGAGCTAGGAAGCAGGATGTCACACAAGACGAAACTGCAGGATTGCGCCGGTTGTTTCAAACACCGAAGGACATTTCACAAAGAAACCTTGTTGCGAATCATTGTCTACAGCACCTGTCCTGCATCACTGCTTCGCCTCCTTTCGCCTGCCAGATTACGCGACAGGTTCTGTTCGACATGGCCCTGCAAATGCGCCTTGTCCTTCTGGCTAAGAAGCATCTCCACTCGTCTCACCTCGAAGCCAGCAGGCAATGAGAATCGGGCGGCAAGGTGGAAAGCCTATGTCACATTTCACAGGCCTTGTCTGCGAGGGCACTCATAGAAGATTCCATGCGCCGCAACTCTGCGACCACCTTGCTAAGCTGATGCAAGCATGAAACAACTTGGATGCGCTGACATGATCTGGGCAGCACAGCACTCGAGATTGCTGTTGAGGCGAGCAGCCACAATCAACACAAGCGAAGAAGCCAAGTAAAGCATAACGATAAATCCACACGTGGTTTCACCCAGAACACGACATAGGAATGAACTGCATCACGTGGGCATTAGCCCTCGCTGCCGGGGCCTGCAATTCAGCATGGCCGGTGGCATGATTGACTCTTTGGCTGAAGTGGCTCAGCATGTCCTCACGCTACACAATTGTGTATTCCTTAAGGAATACGATGTGCTGTGTCATAGCTTGGCAGAAGTGGCCTCTTAACAGCACTGCCGGAGCTCACAAATCTGAGTTCGCTGGTCCTGCGGCATCCGTAATCTTGGTTCATCCAGGCCTAACGCCAGCAGACAAAATAGCAGGGGTGGAGAAGAATGGTGCAGCTCTTACCTGGAGGCCCTTGTGGAACGGCTTGCTCATAGCCAGGTGGTGCAGCTGGGTACGCGGGAGGCGGGCAGTGCGGTACATGCGCCTGGTCCGTCTCAAACTTGCAGCCGAACGGAAAGAGAAGCCGCACTGCCTGTGGCACCGCCATTCTGTACCATCAAGACCTCGGATGTCCGAATTGGTAGGGCTTAGGTTTGACAGCGACTTTACTGAGGTGATGTGGCGCTACAACGTCAGCGTGAGAGAGGGTGTTAGAATAGGGTCGGTGCTGTATTCATCCCTTCCTGTATAATTAAACGCACGGGTTCTCTTCGAAAATGTGCACTGTTTCGGGATGCACATTTCTCGTTTACCTAGTACAAGACAGGCTAGCGGACTCAGACAGCCTGTGCCCTCGGCGACCCCCAAAATTAGGTGTAAAGCCATGGCCTGAAGCCGGAAGGGCCGCTGGGTTGCCTCGACTTGCCGAAGCCAAGATACTGCCTTGCATGATCTAACCCGTAATCACCGTTCACCACTGAGGCCGTCGTACACGTCCGCAGGATCTTCAAGGCTTTCAATCGAACGGCACCCAGAAAAAAGGAAAAAAAAACTCCCGCAGCTGACCACGAATCAATCAATCTATCAATCCAAAATCTTCTGTCCAAAATGGCAGTGCTACAGTGGCTCGCCTTCATGACTTGCGCTTTACAGAGACATAAGCACCATGCATGTATTTAGCCCAGCAGCTTCATCTTGTCCCAGCTAGGACTTCTGAAACTGTGAGCCAAAGTAAGCAAGTCCCAAGGCAAGACACGAGAGAGCATCAAGCCAACAGCCGAAGGCTGAAACAGCAGCCAGCTTCAATAGGCTTTTCTTCGACAAAACGATAGGGCAGGGGTTCCTGCAAGAAACGCCGATCATGGCTGCTTAGCCACGCAGCTTCCGCCATTAACGCGAGTTTCCGAGATGAGTGCGGCAGGTCTTCTCCCGCTCCCGCTGCGCAAGCAAGCGCACTGGGCTCACTCGGTGGACTTCTGGACCTTTGCCTCGGAAGTATTCGGTTGAATAAGATTTTGCGGCAACACTGCAGGGCACTTCGGTTTCTCCTGAGAATCTGCAGCCTGAGGCGGCAGCCATCTTGTCTGCATTTGTGATCCCCATCTCCGTCTCGTACTTGCTGATTTCCTACAGACAGTACTGAGGTCAGGTGGACCCAAATCTAGGATGCCCCGGCCGCATGGTGCCTCAACAATCTCTTCCGCCTGCGGCTTGCGTGACCCCTCGATCAACCTGGACCAGCACGCTTCCGTGCATGGATGCTGCGAACCGGAGATGCAAAGAGACAGAGCACACGTTTGAAAGCACTGCTTTCAATTCTGTCTCGCATGCAGAAGTCTTGCAAACCCTTCTGGCAGGATTGCCTTACCACGTTTCCATCGAGGCCCTCCAGGTAAACCACCCAAGGGTGAGGGTAGGCACCTGCACGGCAAGAAACCTCACCCACCACCTGCGCATTTTCCTTTCACTCTAATTGTTGTACGAGCCAAGTACTAGCCCACTGAGCTGAAAGTTTAGCCAAGATGCGAAAAACGAGCACTGGCCAATCGCTTAAGAGCCTGGCTCAGCGAGGTTTGGTTCAGCTTCTTTGGCCATGCCGGGCCAACGATGAGACCTTCTGCTGCAGAAGTTTCCATGTCCTGTAGGACGAACCCTGCCACGACATGTCTGGTTCGTGCAAGAAGCAGGAGCCGTGTGTAGTACGTCTCCTCCTGGAACTCGGCACAGAACCTGGCCCAGCCCCAGCAAGTCAGCACGACACACACATAAGGAACACACAGCAAGTAGCGCAGCATAGCGTAGCACAAGATCACGCTTCAACCCAGTGGCTTCCCCAGTACTTCCACATCATTGCCGAAATTGCCGCCCACACTGACTTCGGAGCCCTTGTTCTCTATCCTCAGGACGAGCAGATGTGCAGGAACGATGTGGAACAGTTTGCAACTGTCCTTACACAAGAGCTCTCCCCTTTCCTCTCACCCATATTTTGCGATCCCTAGAGGCCCTCAGTCAAGATGACATCTACGGTTCCCAAGCAAGTGCCGGCGGGCCAGGCGCCCACATAGGCCAACGATCATCAAAAGGAACCGAAAGCTTGATTCCCCCGACTTGGCCTGGCCTGAAGCTGGTTGCAGCATCTTCGGAGTTGAGCATCACCACCAAACGATCTTTCATTCCGTTGACAAACTCGCCGGAAGGATCTTGCAGAACGAATTTGCGGCCGCCCAAGAAAATTACGGCAGCATCCTGAACGAAGGCAGCTCTGTCGCTCTTTGCTCGGACGGATCCCTCCGCCCCACCTCGCTACAAAAAAGACCGTCGGCTCCTGGGGTGGCTCATTGCCGTATCCCGAATCATGTCGCTTCTCTTCTCAGCGAACCCACTGGAACCCTTCCATCCTAGAGCTTGGAAGGGCAGGCTCCACTCCAAGCTGAGTCTTGCCAGCTATCTTCATACCATCTCTAGCCGGTGCCTGTTTGGCATCCTCGGTAAGCCGGTAGAGGAGTGTGCCAACATCGCCGGAGGTGGTACCAACACCGTCGAATCTCGAAATGCGCCTCCAGTCAGCAGTCAGCATAGACTTTCGGCAACGCAACACACAGGAACACACAACCACCTAACCACCAAGGAAAGCGCACTCAGCCATTCTGACTTAAGTATTTAAGTCCAGGCAACACATCCTGCAGAGCCGCCCCTCCTGGAGCCTGCAAACTCTTCGTGAAGGCCTCAAAACAAGACCCCAGACAGCCGACAAATGAGACGGTATGCACCATACCGTACCAAACCAGACAACATCGGACAACATCAGACAACGCAATACCGTACCATACGGTACATTGCACGCATACATACATACATACATACATACATACATACTTACTTACATGTCTAAACTTACTATATATTCATCTGCAGGTAGCGAGGTTCAATCTCACTCATGTAACCAATGACAATGTAAACTTGCCGCTCAGCCGAATAGAAGCGTCTCTCGCAACTTTCCGGAAGTGCAGCAGCCGCTGCTCGATGTAGGACCTGCCTGCGCCATAGGAAGTGCGTCATTGAGGAGCGCCTCCATGCCAGATTCTGTCACACGATTCGGTGGGCAGACCATGTCCAACCTCCTGAGTTCTCAGCACGAAGCGATGACTGCAAAATGACTTTCTGGTGACAACAAAACGGTTCCCTCGACCAGCTTTCCGAGCTCCCGGCAATCGCACCGACTGCCGCGAGATCCCATCTTTGAAAGCTGCCATCACGGCTTCTGCAGCTTGATCGACCATGAGCTTGGCCTGCCAGATGCTCAAGTCGGCGCTACTGCCTGCTACTGCTACTGCTACTGCTGCTACTACTGCTACCTGCTACCGCTACAGCCACCGCTACGCCGGCTACGGCTACAGTCCGGCTACTGCTCATGCTACTGCTGCCACTACACCACAGCACCAATACGTCCACCGCCATCACCACAACAATGACCACAACCACGACCACTACCACGACGACGACTGCTGACTACAGCTACTGTCAAGAATACTCCTGCAATGCTGCTGCTAATGGCAAATGCTACTACTAATACTACTCCACGGTACTAGCTGCTACTACTACTCCTCCTGTTCCTGCTACGCCTACTGATACTGCACGACGACGACGACGACTAC